CTCAGGTGTAGTAGGGATTGTGAGGCTGGCGCAGGACCGGGCAGGGCTGTGTTCTCTTGTCCATGGGGTCACTATGAGTTGGAGACAAACAAACAACTCAGAAGTGACCTCCAATAGACCTCATTAACTTAACAAAAGCAGAAATTTCCAAACAAAGTCATGTTGACAGGTCCAGGGGTTAGACTTCAACCATTCAGTCCCAATAGTCCCCTTCGCTCCAGATCTCCTAACCCCACATGCTGTCTCTACAGTCTCCCCACTCCCCACCCCGGGCACACACACCCCCGGCCCGAGCCACCTGCCCCAGCCTGCGGTGGTGGTCCGCCCTCGCCCACCTGGCTGCTTCCGAACCTACTTCATGATGCCCCAGGCTCCCGGGGGCTGGGAGGCTGCTTGGAGAGGGGAGGGAGGGGCACAGGTCCCAGCTCACTTGCACCGTATGACAGCAGGGCTGCCAGTCTCTTGCCAATGGCTGGGAGTCTCCCACCCCCCCAGACCCGCTGGGTGCCTGCTCAGCTGGGGGGAGGGGCGAGGAGCTGCACTCAGGGAAGTATTGACAGACACTCAGAGGTGGCCACACTGGTCTCTTCCCGCCGGCCCCAGAAGAGGTAGTGAAACCTGTCATTGTCCCCACGAAAGTCTCTGCTGCCAGGACTTGAGTCCCTAGAGAAGCAGGTGGTGGCGGGTCCACCCCGTGGGAGGTGTATCCTCTGGGACCTCGAGGCACCCAAGCCCAGCTGGGCCTCCTCCTTCCCCCTCCCTGTGGCCAAGACCTTGCCAAGCCCAGCCCCTCCCTGGGTTCCGCTCCTCACCTGGTCTTCTCTGAACTGGGACAGGGGCAGGAGCTAGAAGGGCCTAGAGACAGCCCTCAGCCTCCCCCACCCCCCGAGGCCTGCCTGGGCTCTGGGCTCATGGCTATGGTGCCAGCTCTGAGTTCAGATCTGTTGGGTGGCAGGGCTTGTGTGTGGAGCCCAGCCTTCAGTCTCCCTGAGGCACCCTCACCCTTCCATGGCCTGTCCTGGGCAGGGCGGCGGAGGAGGGACGGAGGTGGGCTCTGGGAGATCTTGGGCTTTGGGGGGCTGGGGGGGCTGGAGCTGGCTCTTCCTGGGCTCTCAGGTCCTGAGCAGCTCAGTACCTCGGTTTCTCATCCATAAAATGGGGTCGCAGAGCCAAGGAGATCTGCCGGAAACACCGGCAGCGCTCCGAGCCTCCATGGCCCTGGTGCTGGCTAAGACCCTCCCCTGGGTCCGAAGGGCCTTGTTCTTGTCGGCTCCTGTCCATTCTGACTCCTGGCGCCTCCGTGCTCCGGGCCATCGGCAAGAGGCCGGCAAAGCTGTGTGTCGGGTTTCCTTGGCTGTAATCCTTGTGGCAGAGGTTCCCAGGCCTGCCTTCTGCAGTGCTGCTGAGCGGGTTAGCCCTTAGGAACCTCATGTCACAGATGGGGAAACCGAGGCCGAGAGCCTCGCCCGCTGCCTCCTCCCCCAGGCGGGGTGGGGCCCCGCCTCCCAGGTGGTGACCGAATCTCAGCAGCGCGTCGCTGACCCGGGTCGTGATTTTCTCGGCCTGGGTGGCATTACGAGCCTGCAACCCGGCTCGGCAGGCGTCTTCGATGTATAAGGCACGGTCGACATGCCGCAGCTTGGGTCTCACCGAAAACACGGGGTGAGAGAGCGGCCGCCCCGGGTGCACCCAAGCCCAGGGCCGGGGTCGGGGCCGGGGGCAGCGGCAAACCCAAGGGCTGCAGCCTGAGCCCCGCTGCCCCTTTGGAATCTGCGAGATTGGGTGGCCCACAGCCTGAGTGAATGGGCCACAGGGACGTGTCTCCCCGTCCCCTGGGACACCTGCAGTCACTCGTGTGTCCGTCAGGGTTCCGAGACATCGTCCTCAGGCAGGTGGTGACGACTTCGCCGTCAGCTGAGCCCCGCGCGAGCTTCCGTGCCCCTCACGGCCTTGCAGCTGTCAGGGTCTTCACCGACAGGCCAGGGAGGGGGGCGCGGGTCCAAGTCCACCCCCAGCCCCAGCCCCACTCTCTGTCCCCTTCATCTTCCCCAGATGAGGGGGCTGCTGCTGCCCCCAGCCCCTCAGTCTGCCCTGGGGGATGGAGGGTCAGTCCCTGACCTGCCCCTGAGAGCAGACTTGACTGGGGGGGGGCAGGTCTGAGGGTTCCTAGGTGGAGGGCGGGGAGGAGAGGCACCGTCCAGGCCCGGCAGGGGGCAGAGAAGGCCACCGGGCGGCCCTGCTGGCAGGGAGGGGCCCACGTGGTGCCCGGTCGTCCTCTGGCCGGCAGTTGGCGGCCAGTCCCTGGGTTCTCTGTTGGCTCTGGGGTTAACAACACTGACGGGTTAGCCCACCATCCATCCCTGGTGTTGGCAGGAGGCCGGGACTCCTGGGTCTGAGACCAAACCCAGATGAGACACACCAATTGCCACTGAGTCAGTCCCACGTCATGGCGGCCTGTGCCGTGGGGTGGGACATCTCCCTGGGGCTCCTCGGCTATCGTCTTACAGGACCAGATTGCCACGGCTTTCTTCCGCAGCACCACTGGGTTCAGACCGCCCCCGTTCAGGTCAGCAGTTGGACACAAACTGTGCCACCAGGGACTTTATTTCAACACAGCAGGGAGTGTGAGCTCCCCTTGTGGGTCCTCTTCTTGCCCCCCAAGTCCCAGAGTGGCCCGAGGGGTGCTGTGTGTGTCAAAGCTTAGGTGTCCTGAGCCCAGGGGGCCCGCCCTTTTATATTAAGTGGTAACAAGTTGTCTTCCCTGGGGCTGGCCCTCAGCAGACACCACCCCGAGAAACAGCCCGGAAGGAGTGGTCTGTGACCACATTCTGGGCAGGTCGAGCGGGATGTGTGGGAGCCGAGAGCCCCCCAGTGCCGCCCCTCCGCCAGCCTGCTCCCACCCCGGCCCACGCACCTGCCTCCCCTCCTCTGGTACCACTGCCGAGGTGGCCTCCGGGCCAAAGGACACAGGGACCCTTGGGCCCGTCAGGGTCCCAGGGGGGCCGCGCAAGCCTCCTGCCCGCTCTCGGCCTTGGTTCCCACCTCTGCCCAGAACTGTGCTAGGGTGGGGGAAGGGTCCCTCTTGACGAGCTCTCTAGAAAGGGCCTCCTGTGAGGGTTGCCGTGGCCAGGCTCTGGGGTCCCCTCTCCTGGCCCCTGCGCCCTGTAAGAGATCCACACCCCAGCCCAAGCCCGCCTGGCCACCCGACACCTCAGCCTTTAAATATTTATGCGGGCGCCGCCGGGCTCCGAGTCCACCTCCCGCTCCAGGGTGGCCGCAGTGACTGCCCGGACACTGCGGGCCTCGCTCTCTGCCTCGCCAGCAGCCCCCCGCAGGGAGGGAGTTCACAGGGGGTCCTGGGCGGAGCGGGACTGGGGCTCTCCTGAGGGTGTCCCAGCCGGGGCAGCTCTGCCGGCTACCGTTCCTGGGGACCCACAGCCTTCTCTCCGAGAGGCGTGACTGCTTCAGCAGCGGGCCAGGGGAGGCTCAGGGAGGCCAGGGGTCTGCCGGGCGGGCCCTGCCACGCCGCACACGGGCCTGGTCACCTTGCTGAGAATTTGCCGAGCCCTGGGCCGTCTCTGCGTGGCTTCCTGCATGATCCTGGCCCAGCCACACAGCCCGAAATGGCGGCTGATCGGCCAGGTGTCTGATCGGCCAGGCCTCTCTGCAGCAACCTGCCTGCCCCCAGTGCAGGGCCACCTCTGCCTTTCACTGCCGGCAGGGGCTGGGGAGCATCGTACTGACCCCCAGGGTGGACTGCTCCCAGGAGCGCGAGCAGGCGTCCCTGGAGATGGGTCCGGCCACTTTCATTCTCAGCTGTCGAGCTTGAAGGGAAGACGGCTTCCACGAGGACGGCATGGAGGCAGCCCAGGTGGCTGAGAGCCTCTTGGAGAAGCAGGGAGGCGGGAGTGCGGGGCACCACCACCAGCCCTTGTGCCAGAATACCCTATGATGGGGACAGAGTGGAGGGCTCTCCAGTCAGCGGCTTTGGGGGCTGCCCAATGGTTGGCGGTGTGAGGGGCTGGTGAGGGGGGTGCCTGCAGGGGCTGGGCGTGGATGCCCCACACCGGGCTCCTAGGGGCTGATCTGGGGGGCTGTGGGCCTGGTGCCCCAGGCCCCCAGCCTCGGCCCTGCCCCCCTGGGGCAAGCTCACAGCCACACAGCCCTGCTTACGGGCTACAAAGCCGCCTGAATCTGTAGGTGCCCCTGCCCAGGGGCCGGGCAGGCTTCTCTGGGTGCCCACACCTCTAGGGGGTCCCAGCACGGCTGTGGCGCCTGCTCTCTCCAAGTCCACAGGACAGGGTGGGGATGGCTCTCTGAGAAGTCAGCTGGGCATCCATCTGGGGTCAGGGTCCACTCACCACTGTGTGGCCTGGACTCAGGAAGCCAAGTCCTCACCAGAAAATGGGGGTGAGGCCCTGTGACTTTGGCTACTGGGCACATGGTCCCCACCCTGGTCCATTGCCGTCCACCCAAAAATGAGTCACATGGTCAGGCTGGGTCATCTCAGCACAGTCAGGGACAGGGCAGGGCATGGTCACGCATGTGTGTGTGTGCACGCACATGTCACGTGTGAGCATGTGTGAGTGTCCATGTGTGTCACATGCGTGTGCACGTGTCCATGCATGCCTTATAAGGCCAAAATGAGGTGCATGCTCACACTGCCTGGGCGGCGGAGCCTGAAGCCAAGCCTTGGGACAGGGATGCTCTCCCGGGCAAGGGGCAAGGTGGGGGGCGGCACAGTGAGTGATGGCACCCAGACAGCGGGGCAGGGTGTTTGGGGAGCCCCTGGTCACCCAGCGTGGAGGGAGAGTGGGAGCAGATGGGAGAGACGGGACCCTCGCCCCTGCTCACATGCCCGCCTGCACCCTCCCCAGGGACACCGGCCAGGCCTCACCGTTGTGGGACCTCTGCACCGGGCCCTCGCTGCCTGCCAGAGCTGAGAGCAGGCAAAGTCAGGGTGCCACGGGGCCTCACTGACCAGGCCTGTCCACCCGCAGGTGCCTCTGCTGGTGACGCCCCCCCCCCCACCGTTCCCCCCTCCCGTGCTGTCAGCTGCCCGGCAGTCCATGGAGGAGGGAAGGCGCTCAGGGCCCAGGAGCCCCAGCCGTGAGTACACTGTCGCCGTCTCCACGCAGGACTCCAGGGTTCAGGGCCTGCTCCTTCGAGGGACGGGGTGGGAGGGAGCTAAGCCCACAGGACACTCGGGACCAGCTGGGTGGCCCCTCCACCCCCTCCCCGCAAACGTCTTCCAGTGTTTCCTCTGAAGTCTTAAGGGGAGAGCTGTGGTAGCGCAGTGCCCACAGCATCTGACTGCTAACGTAAAGGCCGGTGGTTCAAACGCACCAGCCACTCCCCACAAGGAAGGTTGGGCAAGCCACTTCCGTAGTGATACCGTCTTGGAAACCCAAGGAGGGGTCGCTGTGAGTCGGATCTGACTCGACTGCAGTGAGTTTGTTTTTTGGGTTTTTTTTTTTAACGTCCTCCACAGTATTTTGAACCCCTCAAAACCAGCCCCAGCCAGGGCCCACCGTCCCATCTAAGCATGGGGACCCTCAGAGCCCCAGGCCTGGCCTCCTACCTGGGCGACCCTGGGAAGCCCCAGCCCCTCGTCCTCTCTCAGGACCTCTGCTTGGCCAGAAGCCCCTCGACTGTGCCCATGTGGCGTCTGTTGCCGGAGCCCTAGCAGACTGCGTGGTGTCTCTGACCAGCCTGGGGCAGCGACTGCCCTCAAATTGTAGGTCACCACCCATTGGGGGTATGGCCAGCATTTATGAAAACGGAGTGAGTGGGACAGCGTGGAAATACCGGCAGGCCCCCACGGAGCATGGGGGACACCCTTCAGGACACCTACATCACACGGCTGTGTGTGGGCCTGTCCGGGTGTGAGGCTGGGTGTGCTGCTTACACTGGGTTGTGGCAAAAACACCCCAAGGCCGCTGGCATGCACGCGTGTGCGTGTGGTGGACAATAAGGGCCTGAGCTCAGGGTCCCCACAGGGCTGCCGCGTCCCCGGCAGTACAACATAATGCTTTCTAGCTCCGTCCAGGGTGGAGCCTGAGGGGCCGGATGGGGAAGTGGGATGAAACGCAGATGCCGGGGTCCCGCTGACCCAGCAGAAAATGCACAGGGGTGTGTGACTCCACGCTGGGCCCTGAGGACGCTCGGTGGAGGGCTGGCTGGGCCCTTCTTGCAGCCTGGGCTCTTTTAGGAAGTGCTGTGGCCTCAGTGACAGGGGAGCTTCGGGGGTGGAGTCCCTGGGGGTGCATTCTGTCCCCAAGCCGGGGCTCTCTGAGGTCTCTACTCCCCACTCCCCCCCACCGCCCTCTCCAGAAGCCCCCGTGACTCTGGGCCCAGCAGCAGCACGTCTCAGCCCAGCCTGGCCTGGCCAGCCTGACCCGCCTTCTCCCAGGGAGCAGACGACCGGCATGGCCCCCCCAAGGGTCACCGCCAGAGCCATGCCTGTCCCCATGGTGCGTCCCTACTGTCTGGGTCCCCGTCTCCCAAGTTCCACAGCAATGCCAAAGCCCAGCCCCCCCCCCCCTCACGGGTTCCCCTTAGGTGGGCTGAGAGTCATTCTGGAGCAGGGCGGACCCCAGGCCCTCCGAGACTGGCTCCTGAGGACACCCCTGGGGTTCTGAGGGGAGGAGAATTTCAGGGCAGCTATGAGGCATGTCCCAGAGACAGCCCGTCACCCCTTTGTGGAAAATGTGGGTGCCTTTCTCTGTCTGACTTCTGAATTCAGGGGTGCTTCACACCTCCCTGGAAGCTGCCACCACGAGGCCAGAGAAATGGCTATGGTGGGAGGGTGGGCCAGGGGCCACTGCCCTCCTCAGGGCTCCCAGCAGCCCTGAGACTTCCCTCTTTCCTGGGGCCTGAGAGAGAGGCCTTTCCCACAACAGGTCCAGGGACTCTGAGATGTTCTGTGTGCGAGGGAGTGTGGGACACAGTGCCAGGCGTTACAACGCACACATTAAGGTGAAGGCACCGACGAGTCCTGCGGGGCGGGACTGGCCGCCAGACCTTGCTGCGTCGCTGTCCGCCCACGGACACAGCCTGTAGGGAAGGCCGCGCACAGGAGGGGGCAGCAGTTCATGGATGCCCCTCTGAGCAAGGGACCCCTCCAAGTCACCCGGCCCCAGCAGCGTTCCCGGAAGGCTCGGCCAGGTGCCCTCAGGGCGTTCACACCATCAGTCTGGGGGCTGCGGGGCTGTCTGAGGTCTCCCTGCCGCCCCTCCTCCCCGGACCACCCTGCCCCAACCCGGGATCGGGTCCCCTCGGGCCCTGCAGCGCGTGACCCTCGCCTACGCACAGGGCTCCGAGTGGGCGGCTGACGCCCCAGACGGCTTGGCAGCACTGCAGCCGGACCCACTGCCTTCGGGTGACCTGGACGGGCTAGTGCCCACGCAGGACGAGCGCGGCCGGCCCATCCCGGAGTGGAAGCGCCAGGTGATGGTGCGGAAGCTGCAGGCGCGCCTCAGCGCCGAGGGGGCGCCCGAGGCCCAGGTGGGGCCCGGGAAGGGGCCAGGCCCAGAGAGTGGGGAGGGCGGGGCTGGGAGGGGTGGAGCCTGGACAGGAGGCGGGGCCCGGAAAGGGCAAGGCCCAGAGAGTGGGGAGGGTGGGGCTGGGAGGGGGTGGGGCCCGGAAGGGGCGAGGCCCAGAGAGTGGGGAGGGTGGGGCCTGGAAAAGAGGCGGGGCTCAGGGGCAGGGCCCGGAAGTGGCGAGGCCCAGAGAATGGGAAGGGCGGGACTGGGAGGGGTTGAGGCCTGGAGAGGGGGCGGGGCCAGGAAGCTGCGAGGCCCAGAGGGCGGTACTGGGAGGGGGTGGGGCCCGGAGAGGGGGCGGGGCCCGGAAGGTCTGGGCCGGGGCAGGTGGAAACTCAAGGTGAGGGGTCAGGAAGCAGAGCTGGGAGTCGGAGTTTCCAGACGCAGTTACTCTGTCTGCCCGCTGTGACCTCCCTTCTTCTCCGAGACAGTGATTGTAGTGGATCCAGGGGGCTGCACAGTGCCCCCACCTGCTTAGAGCTGTGGTCCGTGTACTGCGTTAGTGAACGCCTTTAGTAGTCGGCTCACTTGCACCGGGCACCTGCCAACAGAGCAGTTGGTGTCCTGGCAGGTCAGGTGGTCAGTCCCTGGGGGTCACTGAGGGCCGTGGGGCATAGCCATGCAGAGGAAGGGGGTGGGCTTTGGTCTAGAGCCAGTCAGGGCGGCCTCTCAGGGAAGGGGCTCTGGGTTAAGCTCCCGCCAGCAACGGGAGCGGTTTGCGCAGTCCTGCAGCGTGAACCCGTGCGCTGAGGGAGACCCTGCAGGCGCAGCGGGGCAGGCGTCATGGGCTGTGAGGCCTGGGCAGCCTTGAACTCCTGATGCTGTGATTGGACCTGGATTTCATCAGGACCCAGGGCCGCTGTGTGCCCCGAGGCTCTAGCGTGGGACCCCACCGCTGTACCTGAGCCACGTGCCCACAGCCCATGGTCCAGCGCACTGTCCAATCCGACGACACCCGAGTTCAGTGACAGGAAGTTCAATGCCTGGAAAACCATGCCTCAGTCACACCAGCCACACTGCAGGTGTTCGGGGGCCACCTGGGGCTACCGAGGTGGACAGCACATACTCCTCCATCGTTCCTGGAGGCCCACCCTGCCGCAGCCTGTGGGGCTGAGGGCTGGGCACAGCAGGCCCTGGCTCAGCCAGGAAGTCCCTTAAAATCTTTCCTTGGGACACAGGTGGGCCTCGTGAGGGCCCAGGACCACCGAGAGGCCAAGAACTCAGGGGAGTGGAAGGTAGGCTGGCACAGCATGGCTGGCCATAGCCACAGGAGGCAGAGGCCAGGAGTCCCTGCACCAACCCTCCGGGGCCAGGCAGGCTGCCCGGCGGTGATGGTCCCTGCCCCAGACCCTGCTAGCTAGAAGGGATCAAGATTCTCTAGGGGAGAGTGCCACTCCAACCCTGGTTCCTGGGCCACCCCGTGACGGTCGGTGACAGCCTCACCTCCGCGGGGTGCGGGTGGGGAGGAACCCTCCCAGCTGGCGGCACCGCATGGCTGCAGCTGCGTGTCCCCCAGACCGTGGGCACCCAGGGGAGAGGATGAGGATGGAATTGGCTGCCCAGAGCAGAGTGGTTGAGGCCGCCTTTTCTCCTGGGGTGCTGCCTAACCTCAGAAGGTTCTGGAATTTGGGGAGAAGGGCGCTGAGGAGGGAACTCCTGAGACTAAACATGGAGGAGTTGACAGGGGATTCCGAATATATGGGGGCAGAGGCATCTCAGCCTCTTGGGAGGGAGTTAAAGGGGCCCCTACAGGGTGAGGGGCCTGCCCTGAGCCACGAGCTCTGGACTGGTACCGGCCAAGCACCTTGTTTCTCCTCCCATCGAGACCAGGGCCCAGCTGGGTGCCCAAGGGCTGGGCCAGGGCCCCAGGGCCTCAGGCCACCCCAGGAGCGACCCCCTGGCAGGACCCCGCCCTGGTGACCTTGCCCCCTCCATCCCCGGCAGGGCAGTGGGAGCGCGGAGCCCACGGGGCAGGCGGCCTGGAGGTACTCCCAGGCCCACCAGGCCATCCTCGGCCCCTTCGGGGAGCTGCTGACGGAAGACGACCTGCCGGACCTGGAACAGCACATCGCAGACCTGCGGCTGCGCCGACGCCGCGGGGAGTACGAGAGCGAGCTGGGCCGGCTGGCCGCCCAACTGCAGGCTCTGCTGCCCGAGCCCCTGGGCACCATCACCGTCAACAGCCACTGCCTGCCCCGGGCGTCCGGGCCAGAGGGCGAGGAGGCGGAGGCACTGCCTGAGGGCTCGGCTCAGCGGGCGGCGGCGGCCAGCAGGCCAGCCCTGCCCTTCTGGTGCACCCACGTCGCCTGGCTGGCGCGGAGCATGGCTCGGCTGCTGCGGGGTGTCAACGGCCTGGTGCAAAGTGACGAGCAGCCCCCGGATGCTGCCCCCACGGGGGCCCCAGGCAGCCCTCCATGCAACACGGCCCAGCGCGAGATCCAGGAGTGCGGCGTGTCCGTGCGGACGCTGCGCGGCAACTTCGAGCCCGGCCCAGCCGGCCCACCGTGCGCTCCAGGCCCAGTGCCCTGTGAGCCCGGGAGCCAGCCCGGGCAGTGTCTGCAAGGCTGCTGCATGGCCCTTCCACAGCCCCGAGGTGGCCCCGGGGGAGGAGAGCCCGGGCCGGGCGACACCGAGGAGGCCAGCGACTCGGGCATCAGCTGCGAGGAGGCCCCGTGGGAGGCGGGCATGGCGCCGAGTCTGGACCTGGCCGCCCTGCGCAAGGAGCGCATCGTCACGCTGTTCCTCAGTCACTGGAAGAAGTCGGCCTGTGTGCCGACGCTCAGGACGGCCGCCTGCAGGGCCCTGGCGGCCCGCTGCGCCCAGTCCCCCCTGCCGCCCACCCCGCCGCCCCGCGAGGGCCCACGGCTTGGCCACCTGTGGCAGCAGCATGGCGTCGTCAGCCACCTGCTGAGCACCTGGAAGGCCATCATGGCGCACGTGCCGGCCCGGCAGCTGCGCAGGCTGAGCCGGCGGCCACACGGCCCGCTGTCGCCCGAGCAGTTCCTGCCCCACGTGGACGGGGCGCCGCGGCCCTACGGCAGCCTCTCGCTGGACCTCTTCATGCTGGGCTACTTCCAGCTCCTGGGGTGCGACCTGCCGCCTGAGGAGCGCAGGACGCGCCATCTGCTCTGCTTCGAGGTCTTCGAGCACCTGGGCACGCACGGCTGGGAGGCCGGACGGGCCTTCCACCAGGCAGTGACCGACGAGGTGGCCACCGGCCGCCGCACCTGGGCTGATGGCTTCGAGGACATCAAAGCCCGCTTCTTTGGCTCCCACCGGAGCAGCACCTGGGACACGGAGCCTGGCCGCGAGTCCGGCCTGACCGTGCTCGGGCCGTTGCCCCCCGCCACAGCGCCCAGCACCAGCCCCAAGCCCGAGGCCCAGGGCCCAGGCACTCAGGGGGACAGTGTTGGCAGTGGGGACCTCTGTGGCTACATTGACCGGAGCTTCGCCTTCTGGAAGGAGAAGGAGGCTGAGATGTTCAACTTAGGAGAGTGAACCGGGGTCCTGCCTCCGGGTTAGGGTGTGGGGTGCGGCCATCTTCACCTCTCCCTCCTTCACAGCCCACCCATCGGTGCTCAGTTAAGCCCCAGGCGCTGCTGACGGGTACCTGTGGGCCTAGTGCCTCTCTAGGTCTGCACCTGTCACAGGTGTTGCTTGACTCTCCTGCATCCAGGTTCACAGACCCCGCACACACACTGAACCCCACAATGCCATCAGGCTCTCAGATCTGGCCCAGAAGTCTGAGGACTCGTTATCCCAGCCTTGGGGCCCCTCTGTGGGCTCGCCTACCTGTCTGTCTAGTCTTGCTCCTGAGATGCAAACCTGAGCCCGTCTTCCTGCCCTGGTTCCCACTTGTGACCCCTTTAGTGTCTGTGTGTCCCCTCGAGGGCCCCATCTTTCTGTTTGTCTGGGGCTGAGGGCCTTGCCCTGTGCAGAGCCTAAGTCCAGCCAGTTTCTGAGTCTGGGGCAGTGGCCCTAGGCCCTGGTCCTGCCTCTGTTCTTTTGGTGTCTTGGGCCTCCTCTTTCCCCATCTGTGAAATGGGAGGGCTGAGGGATGCAGAGAAGGGGAGTCCGTGACCTGGGGGCCTGCCTTCCAGACCCGACTGCCCTCCTGAATTCTCCGAGTCAGGGAGATGATGGCTTGTACTCACAAACATGCAGCCACACCAGCTACTTGCCCGCAGGAAGGTGCAGCCCAGAACCCACCTGCAGGCGCCGTGGAGGCCCGGTCCAGAGGGGGGCTCCCTGTGAGGAGGGAGCCCTGCTTGCCTGGAGGAGGCCCTGTCCTCCAGCCGACCACCGTGGACCACCGAGGAGCCCCAGCTGCAGGCCAGGGGAACAGAGACACAGCCCCCATGGGGAGATGGGGGCTCTGAGCAGAGGGGCCAGTGCCAGCCCCAGAGACAAGCTGCTGGACCCTGAGGAGCCAGGGCTTCACGTGGGCCCCTGAACTGTGCACACGTCACCCTGCTGGGCGGGGCCTGGGCTGCTGGGGCTGAGGGACAGCCAAGGAGAGAGTCCCGCTCTCAGAAGACTTCCCGAGAACGGGGCAGCCTGCCAGGAGCTCCGAGTGTCTCCTCCAGCCGCCTCCAGCCCCACGGACCCTCCGCTGACTGGGAGGCCCTGGGCAGCCGGGTGTATGGGCCACGACCAGGCTGTGGAATCCAGTGAGGATTTGGGGGCAGGGGGTCATGCTGTTGGGAGAGGCCCAGCAGGCAGTGCGTGGCGAGGACACCTGGTGTCTTCTGCTGCCTCGACTTCCTTGCAGCCAGGCCACTTGAGGCAGAATCCAGGCTCGGTGGAGGGAAGACAAGCCCTCTGCAGCGTCCCTGCCCCACCATGGGGAACGGGAGGGGCTGCAGGTAGGAGAATAGGAGTCTGGCCCTGGATGAACCAGGCAGAGCTCAGAGGGCAGCAGCCTGGCTGTCGGATGGGGCTGGAGCAGAAAGCAGGGGACCCAGGTGCCACGGGAGGGACCCTCGGGGGGGGGGGTGTCATTGTGGGCAGGGGTCCAGACACTTTCCACTGGGGTGCCATTCTGCCCGCCTCCACTGCTGGGGACCCTTGTGGGTGAACAGAGCTGGCTCTGAGGTTGTGAAATAAAGACACCCATTTCTGGTGACACTCACCAGCCCCGGGGAGCTGGCTGTGCCCACACCACACAGGCACAGTCCTGTCTGCATCCCAGCGCCACAGACACACCGGTGGCATGGCCCACAGCCCCTGGAGCCCCAGCTTTCTGGTCTGTCACATGGGGGCGCAGCGTTGACCCGGGACACAAGCGTTAGGAAGGGCTTTGCCTGAGCCAGCCAATGTCTCAAGGTTCCAAGGCACCTCCAGTGGCTGTGGGATACGGACCCCCGGGAGGGAGGCCCTGGCTCTTGGCCCGAATGCCAACAGATGGTGATGGAGGAAGGCTGGTCCACGGGCACTGACGCTACCCGGGCCCAGGAGGGGTGCAGCCGCAGGGCAGGGCTGGGTACCTCGGGCTGTGGTGTCAGAAGGAGTTGGGGGCTTCACTGCCGTCCAGAGTGGCCTCGTCATGTGCCACCTGCCGGATGGATGCTGGGTGGCAGGTAGGTGGATGGAGGTCACTTTCTGCCAGGTGCTTGGGGAGAGCACTGAGCACGGGGACCCTGCTGCTCACCAAGGCCATGGGCAAGTGTCTCCATGGCTTCTGGGCCTCAGTTTCCCAGCTGAGGGGTTAGACCACCTGGGCCTTGCAAAGGTCAGGGTGCTCCTGGGTTCCAGGAGGTGGGGTCGAGTCGGGCTGCAGGGCAGAGCGAGGTGGCTCAGAGCCAGGCTTGGGAGCAGGCACCCTGCTGGGGCAGTCAAGGGGACCCCTAAGCCCTCCATGGCACCCTGCCTGCAGGGGACTTAAGAAAACACGTAGCTGCCCCAGGGGTCTACCCCCGTCAGCTGGGGTGGGTCTGGGGAGGCTGGATTTCTTGCAATGCTCCAGACGGTTCTCCCGCCCAGGACGTGGGAACCCACCCTGGCAGCAGCTCACCTGAGAGGAACAGCTGTCCAGGAAGGTGGGGGCCAGCGGGGCAAGGCCACCTTCTATGCTGTGAGGGGATCGATACCTGTAAGTCGGCCACTCAGCAGAACGCTCACAGAGCTCTCAGAGCCCCCAGATACCCATGCTGGGGGCTGCAGGGAGCCAGACCCAGACAAAGGCGAACCCAGGGCTGGAGGGAGCCCTCCCCGCCATCAGACACGTGTGCAGGTCGCATGTGGAGAAAGAAGGCCTCCTCATTCCTCAGTAACGATACACATTCTCCCAGATCAGTGCATGCGTTTGAGTGTCGTTAAAAAGACGAGAGCAGAGCTTGCTGCTGTAAACCCAACAGTGCGCTCACTCAGACCAGCAGATGGAGGGACGCCGGCACTTCCCACGTGGAAGACGTGGGGCAAGAAGGGCCGCGGTGACAGTGCTGGGCGCGGCGAGAAGCCATTTTAAGAAAGAAACTATGACCTGCTGCCCCCAGGCTGCAGTACGGGTGACACCTCAGCAGAACAGAACAGAAATCCTCACGAGTGGACCCTAAGCGGCATCACAATAAACGGAGATTGAAGTTGTCGAGGATTCATTTTATTGGCTTCGCAATCAACACCAGTGAGAGCAGCAGCCAAGACATCAGACGTCATATTGCACGGGGCAGATCTGCCACCAAAGCCCTCTTTCGGGTGCTGAACAGCAAAGTGTCTCTCTGGGGACTAAGGTGCGCCTGACACAAGCCAGGTGTTTTCAGTCGCCTGACAGGCGTGTGAGAGCTGGGTAGTGAATACGGAAGACTGAAGAGTTGATGCTTCTGACGTGTGGTGTTGGAGGAGAACACTGAAAGTACCGTGGACCGCCAGAAGAATGAACACATCTGTCCTGGAGGAAGTGCGGCCAGAATGCTCCTTGGAAGCAAGAATGGCCAGACTTTGTCTCGCCTACTTTGGTCATATTCAGAGGGGACCATTCCCTGGAGAAGGATGTCATGCTTGGCAAAGTATAGGGTCGACGGAGGGAAAGGCCCTCAACGAGATGGATCAACACAGTGGCTGTGACAGTGGGGTCAAGCTTAGTGTGGTGGTCATGTTTGTGTGTCAGCTTGGCTGGGCCTGATTGAGTGGCTGGGCAGCTGGTGGTAGTTATTCCCCATGATGAGACTGGCAATCAACTCCATAGTGGGATCTACCACAAGCAGCTGAGTAGGTGCCTTTGGGATGTGGTCTGCTTCCTGCCTATAAGGAGAAGCCTTGGGAATGGTCTCTAGACTATGGCACGCTTATAGCCATGTCGTCGCTCGGCAGCCTGCTAGCTCTGCCAACCCTGGGACTTACAATGGACTTAAGTTAGTGGCCTGCCGTGTGGTTTGGTAACATTGGGACTGTGCCTTTTTGCTTGTCAACCTTGGGGCTTCTCAGTCTCAGCAGCCAGCAGCTGTCTGAGTGAAGAAATGCCTCCAGCTCCAGTGGGCCGGGAGCAGGAGGCAGAGCTGGGCCACAAGGTTGAGGGGCTTTCACCCAGCCCCTAGAGCCTGGCACTTTGAACTTGGACTTAAAGCCTCCGAATTGTAAGAATAAAATCCTGTTTGTTACGGCCATCCCATTTGTGATAACATTCTTGTCAGAACGGCACTAGGGAACCAGCACACTTAGTGAGGATCGTGGAGCTGTCCCAGGACGGGCGGTGTTTCATTCTGCTGTACCTGGGGTTGCTATGAATTGGGGCTGACTCCACGGCACCTAACAACAACAATAGTGGCCACAAATGGATTCCAGGGGGAGTAAGAGACAGAAGAAGGAAGATGCCGGGAGAGGAAGGTGCAGTCTGACCGCCTGCTGGAATTCCTGGTGATGCCAAGGGTTGAGTGCTTGACCACTGAGTGAGAGGCGGGCAGTGGGGTGCCCCCAGAAGCAGCTCAGAAGGGCCTGGTCATGTGGCTCCCAGAGGACAGGGCCCTCGGAAACCCTGTGAAGCCGTTTCACTCTCACAAACGTGGGGTCAACGGCTACTGTTTGGTTTGGTGGGTTTGTGGGGAGTGGGTGCTCGCACGTTCAGGCTGGAGGACTTGCAGGCTGGCATGTGGCTCGGGCTTCTGCACGTGGCCACGTGTTCTGACTCGGTGATTTCACGCTCCAAATCTATTCTGGGGATATGGGCACAGCAGTGACACCATGTCAGTCACAGTGGTCCCAGATGAAAAACCACCTGAATGTGCAGTCATAGAAGATTTTTGAAGTGTGGTGTGGTGCCGTGGGTGAAACTCAGGGTCGGGATACCTGATATCAGGCTGTGTAATGGGGCCACAATATACCACGTGACAAGGGACATTAGGCCATCGACGTGGTTTGGTTCTGAATTGGGGGCTAGTGAGGGTGGGAGGGAAGATACCGCACAGTCAAGGTGACCACCTTGTACTGGTGGAATTTTCTGCCTTTTGACTTCTGTTTCAAGTGCTTCGCTGTGGACAGTTTTTACCAGCTGAAAGCAGCAGTGTCTTTCTAGAGACGGCCTGGCTCACGGCAGTCTGGTGACGAGGCTCCCAGATGAACCCCTGGTGTTGGATTTCTCGTGCTGACCTGCCATCTGAGGTGCCAGTCTCCGATTCCCAGCTCCACGGGGCGTCCACTGCTGGCACACCGCTCTGCTCCCTCAGGGGAGCCAGCTCCCCGTGACAGCGACCTGTCATCAGAGTCCCCTGTCCTTGCTTTCTCCAGCCTGAGCTGGGAACCCATTAACCCTTCATGTTCTGGCAAGCCAGACACCTTGTCCTCCCCGTGATGGTCCTAGACACCAAGCCCAGGAAGAAGGGATGGGGCTGGGCTGGGTGAACTGGGCTGGGCTAGTCTGCTATACTCTGGGGCTGGGTAACCAAAAAAAAACACTTCACTGCCGTCTAGTCAATCCTGACTCATAGCAACCCCCCACTGAGTTTCCAGGGCTGTAAATCTTCACAGAAACCTTCTGCCTCATAGTCTCCACGGAGCATCTGGTAGGTTTGAACCACCAACCTTTTGGTTGGCAGCCGAATCCCTTAACCACTACACCACTAGAGCTCCTTAGGGCTGGGTAAGGAAGTGTGGACCCCGGAAACTGGTGAGTGAGAGGAGCATGGAACCACCTCAGAATTTGTAATCGGACAACGAATCGTCCTAATTTGTTTAGTGAGTGTCTTAACTAGACTTGTTGGGCAATCTACTTCCATCGTGATACTGCCTTGGAAACCCAAGGAGGGGTCGCTATGAGTCAGGTCTGACTCAACAGCACATAACAACAACAACAACAACTAGACTGCAAACATTGTGAGGACCGGGACAGGGACTATGGTTCCCTTGCTCACGCCCACGTCCCTAGCACAGAGCAGGGTCGGCAGTCGGCATGCAGGTGTCATCTGTCCCCATACTCTGCCCATCATGACACCCCCAGGCTCTTGAGAAATTACTAATCCTGTGAGGACAGTCATCCCAGGGCCACGAGGGCCACCCTGGTCCATGAGATCATCAATCCTCTCCCCAGTCAGACTGACCTCTGCAACCCTCCCCAGGCCCAGTGCACCAGAGCACGCTCGCGTTAGTATGTCGGGCCCACCTGGTGCCCGGGCATGCTCTCGTTAGCACGTGGGGCCCACTGCCCACCCCCAGCCCAGCCTGACAGCTCCTTTCCTGGACCTCAGAAGCCCCTCAGGCAGGAGGCTGTGCTGGGCCCCACCGTCGGTGTAAGAGCTGTCTGAGGACCTCGCAGGCCGCTGGGTGCTGCCCCCAACCCCCCTCAAGGTCTGCAGGGTTCCTGCAGGACTGCGTCATCCAGACCCCCGCAGGAAGCTTCAGCCGCTGCCAGGTCTTCAAATGACCCCTGGCTCAGCCATCTTTGCACCCAGGGAAGCTCAGAGGCCAAGGTGGGGGAGTGGCTTTAGGTCCAACCATGCTGTCCCCAGCAGGTGGGACACCTGGGGGGTCTGCTCACTCCACCTCCTACCACCAAAGACTTCCCCACAGCCACCCTGGCTGACCAGCCTGCATTTATTCCTGATAGTGACGTTTTCCAGCTTAACGAGAGGCAAGGGCTGCATGGGGCCCTTCGATAGTGACAGTGAGGCCAGTGACCGTGGGTCCCCGCACCCAGCCCCACCGGCCTTCATGAGCCTGGGCACTGGGCTCCCGCTGTCCCCCTCACAGAAGAGGGAGCCCAGGCACGCGGGGGCGCCAGGTGGGGCATGCTCAGGCTAAGACATGGTTCGGGCTGAGAAGCCCGGCTCTCCCCGCCCTAGGTGTCTCCCGCCCTTGGTCCTGGCTGCAGGTCACACAAGGGCCCCGGGAGGCCTTCAGAGCCCACAGTCGCCTGCGTCCCATCCCCGCTGCCCTCCCCCTTGAAACAGGCAGAGGCTAAAAATACCCCTCGGCCCACGTGGCCACCCAGCAAGCCCTCCCGCTGCTCTCTGCCCGCCTGGCAGTCTCGCTGTCTGCCTGAGGCCGCCGCACCAGTGTCTGGGGCCGCCTGAGAGGTAGGCTCGGGGGCTCTGGAGAGGAGGTGGGGACATGGACAGGGGGCACGGGGCTGAGGGCTTGTGGCCGGGCGGCCCCGCAAACTACTGAGATCACAGGAGTAAGGCCTCTGGGACAGAACCCCACACGTGGCCCAGCCGGGCCCTCGGGATGGGGTGGGGTTCAGTGGGCAGCTCCCCTCCGTGTAGGGGGGAGGCTGGACCACTCTGCCTGCAGCCAGGGCCACAGCAGGCAGGCACTGGCAGGTGGGGCGAGACCCTGGGCTGGTTGGGCTGCAGCTGGGCTGGGGCCTTTCGCCTGCTGGGTCCTCTTCCGTCCTGGCCCAGGCAGGGTGGCAGCCCTGAGCCATGCTGGAGGTGCAGGCCGGCCGGTGTCAGCAGGCGCCCCAAGGGCCCACGGAATGTGGCTGACCGCACCCGCCCGCTGGCCCCCGTCATCACAGCAGCTGGCCAGAGGGCACATAGCAATGGCTGGAATGTGAGGCCCGTGGGTGGCCAGAGGCAGGCCCCCTCGCCCAACAGGCCCGGAGGAGGGCAGAGCCGCCTTCCGCAGGGGCGGTTGGCAGGGGTGTGGACCTCAGGGGCGTGGACGGCGGGCCCACCGCCCGGTGAGCCCCTGAACAGTCACCCAGGGTACACCCCTGCTTTGGGTCCTTGGATGGGTCGGTGGGAGGGGGAAGGCCTGGAGCGCTCATTGCCAGCATCCAAGCCCCTCCTCGTCCCTCTCCATGGGCTCGCAGCCGCCGGCCCCCTTCCCCGGGCTCTGTCCCTCCGTCCCCCGCATCCGCTCTTCCCCCCAAAGCCTGTGTCTCCAGGGCGCCTCCTCCCCTTGAGCGCCGTGAGGTGCCCCTGGTGGACGCATGTCGCTCTGCTGTGCGGCGTTCGGGCTGCCGCGGGTGAGCCCGTCTCAGGACATACTGTAGTTCTTTGGGGCAATTCTCTTAGGATAAAATCATCCAGAGCATGAGAAATAAAAACAAGCCGGTCACTGTCAAGGTGCACCGTGACTCGGGCCCGTGTGTCGGGACAGAACGCTGCAGTGAGGTTTCCGGCGGGTGCTTCTCTTCAGGCACCAGATTGCCTTTCATTCGAGGCAGCTCTGGGTGGACTAGAGCCTCCAGCCCTCCAGGCAGTAGCCGAGTGTGTCGATGACAGTGCCCAGGGCTCCACATCGTTACCTCACTAAACTCAGAAACGGACACGAGTGTTGGGATGTGATTCAAAATTACCCTCTGGAAAGTTCCCTGGCTGGACCCGTCCAGAAGTCTACGCTCGGCCGTGAGGAATGTGGCTCTGAATTCGAATCCCACCACCTCGTAGCTGTGTGACCCTGGGCCAGTGACTTGAGCACTTTGTGCCTCAGTTTCCCCACCTGTGGAAGGAAGGATCAGAGCAACACCTCACAAGAGCTGGAAGGGCTGGGTGAGCGTGGGTGGTGCAGCGACGTGGCCCGGCGTGGGTGTGAGCTGGTGTGATGAGGTGCTCTCTCAGGCCCTGGCACATCTGCCAGGGAGGCCAGACAGGGCTGAGACCCGCCCAAGTCCCCTGCCAAGGTCACAGCAGGCCCAGACGGTGGGCCCCAGTGGGGTGGACACCCCTCAAATGGCCCTGATGCCTTCCAACCATGTTGAATCTGGGAGCAGAGGGAGCCCTGTGCTTGAGGGACAGGGGCTACTCTAGGCCACTCAGACCTGCTGGGCCCTCCTACTGGCCCCGTGTGCCCTAAACGCCTGGCCTGGGGTAGGTCTTCCCCTCCGAGCCCTACCCTTCCTGCTGTATAATGGGAACATACTAGGTCGACATCCCAGTTACACCTGACCCACACCATGCATTTTCCATGGCCTCGTATGCATGTGAGACCTGGAGGACGAGAAAAAAGACAGGACTGACACCTTACCCTGTGGTGAAGGGTCTCAGATGCCACAAGGACTGATGCCTTACCCTGTGGTGAAGGACCTCAGAGGCCAGAAGGACTGACACCTCACCCTGCGGTGCTGGTGAAGGGTCTCAGAGGCCAGAAGCAGAACAAAGCTGTCTTGGAAGAAGTGCAGCCAGAACGCTCCTGAGAAGCAAGGATGGCGGGACTCCGTCTCTCGTGCTTTGGTCGTGTTGTCAGGAGGGAGCAGGCCCTGGGGAAGTAGAGGGTCAGTGAAAAGGAGGAAGCCCCTTGATGAGGTGGACAGACACAGTGGCTGCTCACACGCAGCAGGGACTGTGAGGAGGGTGCAGGCCCAGGCAGGGCTTTGTTGTTAGACACAGGGTCACTTTGGGTCAGAGCCGACACCATGACACCTAACACCCACCCTGCAGGGGGTCAGAGGGTCCGGTGAGTGCGGGGACAAAGCCCTCCCCACATCCTTGGTGGTTAGGCAGTGCTTGTCGAGAGGTGGACAGACAGCCGGTCGGAGGGTGAGGAGTGCCCCCCTTGCTGCCATGGCCCCCTTCTCTCCCCAGGAGCCTGTGGGGCGCCCACTCTTCTTCCCGTGAGCAGGCGGACCACAGACGTGTGGGCGCGCTGGCGCCATGGTGTGCAACACTGACGACCTGGACTTCCATGTGCCCTCGCACGCCCAGGACATGCTGGACGGCCTGCAACGCCTGCGCTCACAGCCCAAGCTGGCCGACGTCACGCTGGTGGTGGGCGACCGGGAGCTGCCCTGCCACCGCAGCCTCCTGGCGCTGAGCAGCCCCTACTTCCACGCCATGTTCGCGGGCGACTTCGCGGAGAGCTTCCTGGCACGCGTGGAGCTGCGGGATGTGGAGCCGGCCGTGGTGGCGCAGCTGGTGGACTTCGTGTACACGGGCCGGCTGACCATCACCCAGGGCAACGTGGAGGCCCTGACTCGCACGGCCGCTCACCTCCACTTTCCCGCCGTGCAGAAGGTCTGCGGCCGCTACCTGCAGCAGCAGCTCGACGCCACCAACTGCCTGGGCATCTGTGAGTTTGGGGAGCGGCAGGGCCTGCTGGGCGTGGCGGCCAAAGCCTGGGCCTTCCTGCGGGAGAATTTCGAGGCCGTGGCGCAAGAAGATGAGTTCCTGCAGCTGCCCCGCGAGCGGCTGGCCGCCTGCCTGGCCAGCGAGCTGCTGCAGGTGCAGCCAGAGCAGAGCCGCCTGGAGGCCCTGCTGCGCTGGGTCCGCCACGACCCCCCGGCCCGGGCCCCCCACCTGCCCGAGCTGCTCGGCCTGGTGCACCTGGACGCCCTGCCCCAGCCCCGCATGCGGCAGCTGCTGGCCTCCGAGCCGCTGATCCAGGCATCCGAGGCCTGCCAGGCAGCTCTGTCCCAGGGCCACGGTGCGGTGAGTGAGGGCGGGGGCTCCCACCGTGAGAAACGGAGAGAGGAGCAGTGTGGGCATCCGTTCCATCAAGTCCATTCCAACTCTTGGCGCCCCATGTGTTGCAGAATAGAACTCCCTCATGGGGTGTCCTCAGCTGTAATTTTTAGGGAGCTGAATCACCAGGCACCTTCAGCAGCACCATTGTTGCTGTGGTTACGTGCCGTCGAGTTGGCCCCAACTCCTAGCGACCCCTCCTTGGGTTTCCGAGGCAGTATCACTAAGGAAGTAGATTGCCCAACCTTCCTTCTGAGGAGCAGCTGGTGGGTTTGAACCGCCAGCCTTCTGGTTAGCAGTCAAGTGCGTTAGGCACTATGTTACCAGAGCTCCCATTGGGTGGGTTTAACCACCTACCTTTAGATTATTAGTCAAGTAAACACCATTTGTGTTACCGGGGACCTGATGGGTATCCTTGGGCTGTGTCATGGATTGAATTGTGTCCCCAAAATATATGTGGCTGGGCCACTAATCTCAGTGGTTTGGCAGTTATGTCATGATGTAATCTGACAGTTATATGGTGACCCCCCCACGAAGTGATCTGATGTGATGAGCCAATCAGTGGTAAGAGGGTAAGGGTGGGAGGTAACACATCCTGTCACAGCTCTGATCCGGTGTAGGGGGTTTCCCTGGGATGTGGCCTGTAACACCCTTTACCTCACAAGACCTGAGAGGAGAGAGGGGCAGAGAGGGAGGGGCATACCACCACCGAGAAACCAGAGCGGGACCAGAGCATGTCCTTGGCACCCAGGCAACCTCCTAGGACTGGGACAGTCAGAGACAGCCAGCCTTCCCCAGAGCCAGCGCCCTGGAGTCAGACTTCCCGCCCCCTGCACCGTGAGAAAGCGTCCGTCTGTCAGAGCCACCCACGTGTGGCATTGCTGTTACAGCAGCCTGAGAGACTAAGGTAGGCCACTGGAAGGAAGCCCACGCATGGGGCGGACGGCTTCGAGGAACAGAAGTGTGCTGTCTCCAAGGGTCGGTGGGGCTGTGCCCGCTCCCTGGCTCTAGGGGAGGACACTGCCTGGGCTCTTGGCTCCCATAGCCCCAGGCATTTCTTGCCGTTCCCTGTTGTAGCCGGATGCCACGTGGTGCCTTCTGTTTGCCTCCTCTGACCGTGAGTATGCTCCCGTTTCTAAAACAGCCCTCAGAGGGGACTAGGATTGAGACACTTCTACTCCAGCATGACCTCTGCTCTGGTTCCCTAGTGCCACCCTGACAGGAATATACCACAAGTGGGAGGCTTGAACAAATAGGAGTTTATTCTCTTACAGTTTGGAGGCTTTAAGTCCGAGTTCAAAGTGCCAGGCTCTAGGGGCTGGATGACAGCCCCCTCGACCTTGGGCTGCAGCTCTGCCCTTGCTCCTGGCCCACTAAACCTGGAGGCATCTCTTCACTCAGGCAGCTACTGGCTGCTGAGGCTGACAAGCCCAAGTTGACAAATAAAATGGCATAGTCCCGATGTTATCAAACCACACCGCAGGCCATCCATTCAAGTCCATTGAAAGTCCCAAGGTCGGCAGAGCACAGCAGGCTGCTGAACAACGTGGCTCCATGCAGGGTCCAAGTGTGCCATAAGCTAGAGACTATTCCCAAGGCTTCTCCTTATATACAGGAAGCAGACCACATCCCAAAGGCAGCTACTCAGTGGCTCACAGTAGATTCCACCATGGAAGTGATTACCAGTCTCATCATGGGGAATACTACATCCAGCTGCCCCCAGTCTCAGCCAAGTTGACATGCAAACTTAACTACCACACCTGCAAAAGGAGAGCCCTATCTCCTGACAGGATTCCATTCATCAGAACAGGAGTAGAAATGCAGCATATCTTCTGGGGGCACAGTTCAATCCATAACAGGAGGCCCTGGAGACCCCACTGTTTAGGGAGGGAAAGTAAGGAGTGGGTACCCCTAAGGGGACCCCTAATCTTGCAAGTCTGTCTGCTGAGCTGGTTCCCGGTGCAGGCACTATGACTCACCCCTCAGATACTGGTGGGTCCTGTGTGTGTCAGGCCCTGGGTGTGAGGGGTGGGGGCCAGAAGTGATAAGACAAGCTGTGTCCCGCGGGAGCCACCACCTGGGAACAGAGCTCAGGCCAGCACTGGGGCTGGGGCGGGGCTGTGGTAGGCCCGGGATGGGGGCAGCCTCAGAAGGGGCAGCAGTCAGGAAGCCTGGCGGGGCAGCATCTGAGCTGGGTCTTGAAGAGGGTGTGCAGAGGGGAAAGGAGGGACCTGCCCAGAAAATGCCACAGCCGTTACCAGCGCGGAGGCCGGGCCAGCAGCTCCCCCCAGATACACGGTTCAAGTGTTTGTACCTCAGCGGGTTCTGATGAGGCTAGAGGGGTGGGGCTGCGACGAGGAGAGCTAAGGGTCAGTTGCTGGCCCCTGTCCAGGGCCTGAGTCTGGGGACAGAGGTTTGCTGAGATGGATGGTTCTCAGGCCGGGGGAGTGGGGAGTCTGGGCAGCGTAGGGTGGGGCCCCAGGGCCTAGGATGCCATGCACAGTGGCTTCCTAAGAGCCAACATGGAACGACTTGAGCAGTCACCCCCAGCCGCCATCCTAGTGTGGCCTGCTGGGCCCCCAAGAAGCAGGGACTCCCTGGGGTGGGTAGGTCTGGTGAATCAGGGACAGGTTCAAAGATGAGTGCAGCTCCACCTCCAGAAGGTATGTAGGGACTGCTTTGAGGGGAGCAGCTTAGGGCATATGGGGCCAGCGGTCCCCCACTCTGCATGGGACTGCTGAGCATCTGCTGTAAGCATCAGCTCCATGGTACACACATGTACACACATGCATATACATGCACATGCATGCGTGGATGCATACATGCACATCTATGTGTACATGGATGTGAACGTATGCATGCACGCATACACCTATATGTGCGTGCACATGTGTGCAGATGCACATGTATATGTGTGTGGACAGGAACACATGCATGCCTTCATACATGCACACATGTGTGTGCTCACACATGGTCATATATGCGCAAGTACGTGAACACATATGCACATATGCATATACATGCACACATATATGCATAGACACAAATACATGTACACACCTGTGTAAGCACACAGAGAGATGTATATACATATATGCACACATGCACACACGTGTATGCACACACACACAATATCCACACATGCATATGTATGTGCAGACATGTGCATGCCTACACATGCTCATATGTACACTACATAGGAACCCATGCACATGTGCATATACACATACATATGCACATATATACACAGACATGGGCACATGTGTACACACCTGTGCAAAGCACATACATGCATATACACACATGTATGTGCATATACATTGACATTATCCACACATGCACATCTATGTGGACACACATGCATGTATACACATGCTCACACATGCACATACATATGAACACATATGCTCACACACCTTGAGGCCCACCCGACCCCACTCACATGCATGCAGCCCAGAGGCACACCCGCAGGCCCACGGCTATACCCCAGACATCCAGGCCTCACCCTGCCTGGAAGATGCCAGGAGGCCTGCCCAGCGCCTGGAGCCCCTCTGAGCCCAGCCCTCCTGGCCCGACAGGTGCTGCTGGCCCTCCCTCAGAAGCTGGAGGAGGTCCTGGTGGTGGTGGGAGGGCGGGCCCTGGAGGAGGACGAGGAGGCTGGCGAGGAACCTGAGCCGCACCCCGCGAACTTCACCTTCTACAACACCAAGGCCAGTGAGTAGCCCCTGCAGGCCCAGTGCGCGCCCACCCCTGTGCCCACACTCAGGCGGCTGGGCTCAGCCCCCCAGTGGAGCGGGAGCTGCCCACCCGTGCCTGTGCATGCTGGGGCCGCGGTGAGGGGGAGGCGCCCCCAGCAGCCAGAACTCCACGAGGGTCTTTTCTGGCCGCAGGCCTGTGTAAAGGGCCCAGCCCCCACTGCTCAGCCCATGCCATGTGGGAGGAGGCCCACAGAAACGTGGGCAGCCTGGCAGCTTCTTCCCCTTGGTGACCCTGCCCTGTCCCCAGGCAAGAACAGTGGCCCAAGAGGGTGCAGGCAGCCTTGGAGGAGGTGAGAGCCCAAGTTTAGGGTCACTCCAAGTGGGGGTGCCATTCTGGCCCTTTACCAGGTCGTCTCCTCCCTGCGCCTCAGCCTCCTCATCTGTGAAATGGTGAGCACCTGCGGCCTCATCCCTGGTCGGGGTGCCAGGGCTGGGCAGCGGGGCTCTGCTGGGCAGTGGGGCGCCAGAGGACTGGCCTTGTTGGCCCGTGGGAAGCTCTTGGAAGGCTCTGGTGAGGCTGGCTGGGGTCCTGGGCACCCAGGCAGGTCGCCAGCCACCCCCATGGTATCAGTGGCTGGCAGCTGCCCCGGGTCAGGGGCTGACGAGAGAGGATTTGGGGCTGACGTCAGGAGATGAGGTCTCCTGGCCCCACCTGGGAACAGCTGTCCCACAGGCCTGGCGGGGGGGGGGGGTCAGCTGGCAGGCAAATGATGGTGACTGCTGGGTGGTCCCACCCTGGGGTGACACAGACATGAGTCAGGGGGACATTGTGTCCTGCCCACTGTGCCAGCTTCATCACGGCCCAGCCTGGCAGGCTCCCAGGAAGGCCCAGAACTCAGCATGGCCCAAAAGCTGTTGTAAATAGCCGACAGCCAGGCCCTCCCAGGGGAGCATACCCCAGGCCTCCCAGGCCTTCTGGAAGCTTCTGCGGGTAGGGCTTTACCACCGTCACACATGCCACCTCGCTCTGGTTTCTCATGGCACCCCTCATCCCTGCCCCCCGTTCACTCAGTGAAGGCATGTCCCACTTGGGGGTGTCCAGGGAGTAGCTCCCCATCACCGTGAGGTGGAGAGCACCCCATTCCACAGATGGAGAAATGGAGGCTGGGTTTCTCCACGGCCACATGGCTGGTATGGGATTCGAACTTGCCTTGCCGGCTGCCAGGCCTGTGTCCGACCCTATGTACTCCTGGCTGCCCAGAAGCAGTCAAGGAGTTCAGAAAGCCTGCATGAGTGAGGGGAGGGAAGGGG